TTTTATGTCTGCGGTGTTGCACAAAAAACTACCGAGTGAGTACTGTTTTAGATGCAACACCAAGCTGATAAAGTTGAGAATTGGTGTCATTTGTGGATAAAATGCATTCAAAATCCAAAAAGCGTCTCATGGAGGAGATTAGAAAACTTTAAGATACGTCAATGAAGGAATATAAGGACTTTCAGCGAGCCACAAATTTGTTGGAGGAAATCGCTCAGATCCTGAGTAAAGTAGTTCTTTTCTTTTTCATTTGTTGTTTTAAAGCTAAAATTCAAACTGTCTCTTCCTCCTCGTCTTTGACATCATGACTGAAATTGAGAGGAATTAAAGAATTTTTCCGGCGGTCAGTACGCTCAAGTATGAAGTTTCAAACATCTGCGGACAACATGCACGGAGTCCGCACGGCTCACGGACCACACACAGTACGTCCGAGTATGTGGGAGCCTTTACTTCTTACTATTTTTTACGTATTACTTACATAATGTTTACTCTTTACTACTTACTTCTTACTATCTACTACTACTGTAATGTTTACTATTTACTACTTATTTATTACTATCTACTACTTCTATAATGTTTACTATTAACTACTCACTTACCTCTTACTACCTACAACTTCTATAATATTTACTATTTACTACTTACTTACTTCTTACTATTTTTTACTTACTATTTACAAAATGTTTACTATTTACTACTTACTTCTTACTATTTCTTACTTACTACTTACAAAATGTTTACTATTTACTACTTACTTCTTACTATTTCTTACTTACTATTTACAAAATGTTTACTATTTACTACTTACTTCTTACTACGTACATACTATTTACTTACAGACTACTTACTTACTACTTACTTTCATACTTACTACTTAGTATTTATTACTTTCGTACCTACTACTTTCTTACTACTTACTGGGGTGGCTGTGGTGGAGTGATTAGGGGAGTTATCTCATAACTGGTAGGTTGCAACATGTGAAACATGTTACAGTGAGATTTAATATGATGCAGTACAGAAGTGATGCATCGCTGTCATCATTGCTTAATAATTATTTAACATCAAAACATTGTAATCTTCTGAAGGCACTTCAGTGATTGTTGTGTTGCAGTTAATAGCGATAGATGCAGCAAAGTTTGTATTTATTCAATTAAAACAATTGCTACAAATTGCCGCCTCAAATGTTTTTTGATGCTTATTTAATTACTCTGGTTTTGCAAAGACATTGATTTAGTTTATAACAAATGAAGAAAGAACTAGCAGCGAATCGGGATTGTTTATTACAAGTCAGATTGATCTGAGCTGCATTGGTTTTTGTATCAGTTCTAATTAAAGAATAATGAGGCTGGTAGCAAAGATTAGATCCTTCAATTGATGCTGACACAAATAATCCTGTATGAAGTACGGAAATAATGTATATTTTATGAAAATTTATGTTTTGTTTGTTTTTGCTCTTTCAAGATGAAGAGCTTAAACTAAAGAGGAAATAAGAAAAAAAACCTGAAAGAGAAGCTCCTCCATGTGAGGAGCTCATTTAAAAACCTGTTAAAGATTCATACATACAAGCATGTAGAGGAAAGGGCTCCATGGCTGCACCAAAAAAGAGAGTCGTGTGTGAGTTTGTACGAGCATGCACGTGGACGGAGTTCTTATCGTCTTGGCGCAGGATTTTTTTCTCCATCAGGGGGTAATCTGGCAGAATAACAGCGAGGCAGACAGCGGCTGAGGGAACGGTGCTGCCGCCGCTACCAGCGCTCTCCTCCTCGCCCGTCTCACACATTAAAAGCATGATGCAAAAGGGCGGAAGAAACCCCTCAGGCTGGGATTTAAAATCAGCTTACCACTTCCTGAATCTTAACCCTAATCTTTACATTGAAGTAGCTTCGATCTGACCTCAGATCAGTGTTGAACCCAGCACTTATTCAGCTGAAGCTCCATAACTTTGGGTTTGGGTGTAATGGAGCAGATGGAATCCTGATTCCTACAAGACCATTTAAATAATTTTTAATAAATTAAAGTCACATTTTGTTGAGAAAAAATGGTCAATTTGTAACACTTTCATTTACCCACACCAACAGATTACAACAGGCTTGTTTAATTAAGACTTTACAGTCTTGTCCAGTCAGTGTTTAAAAATTCATGCTCATGAATAAAACCAGCTTGTAACAATATAAATCTAAACCGTTCCTTTACCTTTTTGTTTGTTTATTCATAAATAAATCTTCCATTTAGAGGGCATTTTTCCTGATGGCTGCAGAAGCATCTTAAAATTAACCTTTTTGCTTTTTCCATCCTGGCTGTTGATCAGATCATAATTTCCACAAATATGAGGAAAATTGGAGAAGGCTGTAGGCGAGTCTTAAAGAAGGAAGGCTTAAAAGATTATTTGAGGGAGAATAACAGATGTTTCTTGTGATAAATTCTTCAAATCCAAATTGTCAATTCCTTTAAAAGTTTATGAACAGAATATATCAAAAGCAGCTTTTTAAAATTTGAACTCATGTAGGACCAAAATCACAGTGGGAGACATTCATGTCTGAAGATAAAAAAGAAGTTATTCTGCATTTATTTATTTGTTTTATGACTTTGGGTTATTTAAAAAAGGCTAAAACATGAAATAAATGTTGCAACAAAGCATAAAGCCACCAAACCTTTGTTTGTGTAAGGATCATAATTATTAAGTCATCATGATGCTTTGCCTTATGTAGAAAGTTATTGAGGGGGTGGGGTCATTTTAAGAGTTTTTAATTAACTGTTGATTCAGGAAGCTCTGCTGTTTTTAGTGCTTTTGAAATCCTTCTATTGCCTTTGATACGTGAACCATAACATCAAACCATCAGAGTTTTATTCTGGTTTATGTCTTACCTGACAAATAGGAGTGCTTCTGGAATGCCTCCCCGACTTGTGGAGTCCCTCAAGGCTTTATAGTTGGTCCTCTACCATTTAATCTTTACATGTTGCCTCTGGAGTCCATTGATTCCTTTTCACTGTTTGCTGACATTTAAGTTTAACAGGTTTTTAATTCAGACTATAAATCCACTCCTGAGTTATTTATTTTAACACTCTGTATGTTGGTTTAGATAAATCATCACTGCGTTGCTTAAATGCTGTCCAGAATGCAGCAGCTTGTCTTTTGTTACTAAAAACATGAACATGTGTCTCCGGCTTCCAGTTTACTTTAGGATTGAATTTAAGATTTTACTGCTTAGAGGACCACAAATAGAGCCTTGATGGACTCCACAAGTCAGAGGAGCATTCCCCTAAATGAACAGAAAACTACTTTTCTGTTTATTTAGCAAGTTCTAAAAGGTCTGGGCTAAACTTTTGATGTATGTGCTATATAAATAAATTGACATAGACAAAAACAAAATCCATGTAAAATTTGTAGACGATACAACTTGAAAAGGCTTTTTTTTTCTCTGTTTGGCTAAATAGAAGTGATCTTTGTAACTCTCAAGAAGGTGACAAATGCAGACCTTACACTTTCTCACTAAAAGCAGCTTTCCGACATGCACTTTCCTGCTGCATCTCCAGGGGTTTTTAGAAGTTGTCAGAAACCTGTGTGGTCTGCATCAAAAGGCAGGTTCTGCAGACGACACAGCGGTATCAAAACCTGGCAGCGTGATGACAAGACCCCAGGAAGCCGAGCACAGTCACGTCTGGCTCTGCTTCATCATTTAAAAAAAAAAAGCTTTAGAAGCATCTGTTTTTTTTTTTTTTTTGATTGTGTAAAATATGCCAAGTTTAAAAATATCCAACTAACGCTTGAAAATGGAGCAGATGAAAAGATTTAGGGAAAGGCTGAACTCCTGTTAACTGAAACTGAGTCTGGTTTGACAGCAGCAGAACAAATAAACCCGACTTCATGCTGTGACGCTGAGACCAAAGAGGTGATTAGATTTAAGTGTAAAGCGGTCCGGGTTCTGAGGCCCGGCTCTCCTGCTCCTGCTGTTAGTCTCTGCATGTCTTCGGTTTGCAGTTCCCCCTTCACTTGGCTCTGTCTGCATGTTTGATAGTGCCTCCATCTCCTCGCTGTGTGCGTAGCTAATAGAGCTATTTCCCCTGTAATTGCAGCAGGTCAGACCCAAAGACAGCAGAAGCCTAGTGTCCCCCCTCTCCTCTCCATCACCTTCCAGATTACAGGTAGGTGATCTTAGTCACGCTGATACGAAGCTTTAGCCTCTCCCCTGATGAATGCCTCCCATTTCCTGTTCCTTACCGAGGTGCTTTACTTTCCCTCGGCCTCCTGTGCTGCCTTCTTCCTCCCACTTGTCTTTTGTCCTCTAATTTCCTCCAGCTCTGCTCACTTCACCTCCACCACTGATCAGCGATTACTCCTCCTGTCTCATCCTGTTTGCTGTGCCCTCGTTTCTCCTCTCTGCCCTTATTTCACTCCTGTTTGATCCTTTTTATATTCTCTTTTTTAACTTTCAGTTCTCTTTATGTCATCTGTACAAAAACAACAAAACAGTCAGTCTATAAATCCAGTTCAGTCTAGATTAAAATCTATTTATAGTCAYTTCCGGATGTGTATAATAACAAAGTACATTAATTAATAATATAGTACTTCAGTAATCTGTTTGGCAGTTCTGTAATTTGACCATATATTTTTCTTTAAATTGTAGCTTTAACTTTTATTGTGTTACATTTAAACACAAAAATGATACTTTTACTTCMTTGCTTTGAACTTTACCACCTCGTTACACTTTTAAATACGAACAGAGCTCATCATGAAAGGAGTTATGCACTCAAAAGAAAAGACTTATGTCAACTGGTTCCACTAAATCAAAGTAAATCGTTTTAGTGGAACCAGTTGACATAAGTTAAGTAAACTCAAAACAACATTTCTTAAGGTCCTGTCACATGAAAGTTTAGACAATTTATGAAAATTTTAAAAACATCTACTTGATGGTGGAATTAAAAAAATTAACTAGAAGCCTCTTTTAGGCATGTACATATTGTAATGCTAGCAAAATGATCAAATATAACTTTCATTCGTAATTTAGACAGAAAATGTTTATAAGTTTTCTAAAACTTTTACTACTTTTACTTTTCCTGATTATTGTGAGCAGTTTTATGACTTTTACTTATTTGTGAAATTAGTTTTTACCCAAGTCATTTTTGTTGAGGTATTTTTATTTTTTCATGTATTTAATAAACCTCTGCTCAGTTCATTTCTTATTGTGACTTCTCACACAGTACACTAAAAAGTCAGAAAACAGATTGTTGGGTTTACTTTACCAAATTATGTCAACAATTTCCACTCAAAAAACTGAGTTAAATGTAAATCAACTTTCACGTTTTCTTTAAAAAAAATAAACGTAAAAGTTGTTTAACACTTATCTCAGTTGAGTGGTTTGGTAAAGTAAATCCAACGATCTTTTTTTTTGAGTGTAGCTCAAAAAGCCAGCAGATTGAGTCAAAAAATTTAAAACTGAGCTACACTTTAATTAGACAGAACAACTTCTTTTGACAGCACYGCACATTTAGCCAGTTTAGCGCGGCGCACAAGGAAGCYGTAGGTSCGGTAGAGCGTTTTCCGTGCATGCGGCGCATCCAAAGCAGCCGACGCTCGAGTTCAAAAAATTTAACATTTGCTGCTCGACGCTCCGCGTCAGCCAATCAGGGAGGTTCATTTTTCCACATGACAGTTTCCTGAATGTTGCCCACTAACCTGAAACAGATGGACATGKGRTCTTTAGCTGAAATRGACCGTCTGTAGTTGGTGTTCTGGCTGGAGATATCAGCACCGATGCAGGTCAGTAGCTTGTTAAACTGACCGCGTGGGCTCGGGACAAAAAATAGTTTGTCAGCTCGCAGTTCCTGGAGTGGCYAAACCAACCGAACAGACCGCCTCTAAATCATCTGGTGAGTTAATTATCTGCTGTGCGTAARGTTCGTTTGCTCTTAGTAAATAAAGCAAAGCCATTTTCTTTATTTTATCTTTATTTCACTCGTCATTAAAGACAGACCAGAAAAAAAACCAACACTCTCCTCCCTCTTCAGATGAGCATCTAGTCTGTCCCCGGTCTGAACGTAGTGTGTCCAYCTTGAGGCGTTGGGRGCATTTTTGCTGCTCAAAATGAGTTTGGTGTGAACCCGACTTTAGAGAGGACAGAATATAGGGTCAAACATTTTGGGCAAAAACGCTCCTTAAATTCATCTGTAATTATTCTGTTTCTTCAACTATTAAACGCTGTGTCCTCACGGGCAGGATGAAGACTTATGGTGAATTAAAATTTACTCCCAAGTCCCTTTCCTTAAAACAACCCTCTAAAGACACCGAGGCTTTAGTTGTAGACAGGTTAATCCTGGATCTTTATGGACCTTTTGTTTTCACCGATCCAATGAATGAGCATGGAGGAGAATAAATGAGATCTAAACTTTATATATTTTAAACTCCCTGCTTGTCCCTGACAGGAAAGAGACACTAAATCCTGGAGCTGTCAGGTGTTTCTATGAGAACACAGCAGAAATTAGCCATTAAACTACTAGATTATAGTCTGAGTCATCTCAGATTAAATGAAATAATCTGTCAGGGCAGTAAGACAGGTAATAACTGCAAACAGAGTTTACTGTCCATGTTGGCTTTTATTGAGCTCAGGAAACCCAAACCAACCCAAGTAGTTCTCCTCCATCTGTTCATCTTTACAGTCGTTCTTTCCTTTCCCCGTTTCGAACATAACAGCRTTTCACAAAATAAAAACCTTCAAGAAATGATTCAGATATTGATTTTCACAGCAGCTGTTTTTGTATCTGGAACCACTCAGAGTGCTGCAAACATTTGGCTTCAGCGTTTAGAGCTGTTGCCAAATCAAAAACAGCGCTGAGCATTATTACWACAAACTTCTGGTTTTCTGTGAGAAAAACTTTGTTCCAAAACAGAAGAAAGTGAGACACAAGACTTTTTTCTTTTTTTTACCTCTGTGGACCGAGCTGCTCTCACATCTGGGAGTTCCTTCCTCCGTTGTCAGTTTTGTAGAAAAGAATTGAGCTCYCTGGAGAACGAACTACAAATGGACTCTGAGAATTTACAGATTTTTCTTTTTCTCTTCATCAGATGGAGTCTTGAGTTGTGTTGGTCCTCAGTTTAATATTCATAAACACAAAGTAACGAGTGAAGCCTCCCTGTAGCTCACGCATTAACAGCAGATCAACAAACTTAGTATTTGACTTTCAGCTGCTGCGTTACAGGGAATTCAACGTTTTGCATTTCAAACCTTGTCGCCAGTTTTCGGGGACTTGTGATWCGCCTCTCCTGACCTTGTGAGATTTTTAAACTCTCAGATGTGCTGCAGGAACAGATGAAATAATGGAAATGAAGAGCCTCAGGTTTAACTTGTACAGAACATGTATTGTATGAGTTCTTTAGAGCAGAGGTGTAAAATAAATCTGTTTGAAGAGAGATCAACGCCTCAGATTCTGAGGGGAAACGAGCCCCCACAATCTGAATCAGTCTTTATTTATTATGCAACATCTGACGCCTCYAAGTTAGTTTTACAAGAGTTAGATTTCCTTCTGAAGCTAAAACATGATGTTCCTGCTTCCACAACAGATGGTGCCAGATCAGGCTTTTGTTTTTCCCCAGCAGTTTATAATTAAAAAAAGTCTCGTCACACAAACAGGTTCTGATTAAATGTGATGTTGTGAATTCATTACGGGCACTTCTTCTCAAGCAGATGTGATTATAGGAGGAAATAAAAACACTTAATAATATATTCTTTATTAAAATGCAAAACAAGACTTCCAGCTAACATTTTATTAATAAACGTGTTCATTTACCCGCTTCTCTCGGTTTATTTAACAAATCAAAGACAGATGGGCTTTGTGTTTTATAGAACTTTATTTTTAAATAACTGCAGCGGTTCTTAAAGTGCGTCYGGTCCGCTGCATGGGACACAAAACATCCAAAAAACATCTATTTTTWAGTAAACAAAAAAATGATTGTGGTTTTATTTTGTAATAATAACATTGTTTGTTTGATTTTATTGTAATGTTTACATCTTTTGGTTCCCTAAATTGGGGTCGGGACCCATTTGTACATCAATTTATAGTCAAATAAATAGCTAATAAAATATTTTCATCATAATTATTGACAAAAAATGCAATAATTATAATAATAAATAGCATCTGAGGTCACAAGTTTGTGCAACTGTTATTTTGTGAACCYGAAACTAAAAAGCTTGAAAACCAACAACTGTAAGGGTTTTTGTGGGTTGGAGGTTGAAAAATCTGAAAACGTCTGATAAATAATTTGATTTAAGTTTTAAAATAGTATGCATGGCCTAAAATACAGTTTTGCAAGAAACTAATAAAAAAGTAACRGTTTCATTTTCAAAAATTGTTCACTCAAAATGTGTCCTCACGGCTCACAAACGCTCCGATTTTAGCGGGAAACTCAAACTGCTACAGCTCAGTGAGAAATGAGATCAAATCTAACAAATCTAGACGTAAATACCTTCAAGCAAAAACTAAATCATCAATTTTATTATTTTTAAATGTTTTTAATGTCAAAGCAAAAAATGTTCAGAGGAAAAATGTTTCTTGTCCCTTTCTTAATAAATTAAATGTAGTAGTTTTTTTTCACATGTATTTGGTTCAACATGAAGTAAAAGATTTGACAATTTGTGACCTTTAAATGTGGCYTTGAAAGCACATGCTGGTTTCTTTACAAGTCTTTTCATTAAAGCTGAATCAGCTGCAGCGTTGCTAAAGTTTCACTCTTTAATCCTAACAAAGAATCTAACCTGGAACATTAAATAACATTTAGACAGATGGGTGTAGGGCTGGGCGGTATGACCCAAATTTTATATCACGGTATTTTCAACAATTACACCGGTTTCATGGTATTTGATGGTATTTTTTTCCTCACAGCTCAGCTGATAATAAAATGTACAAACTTTGCTTATTGACTTTTTTCTTTTACTGTATCTCTGTATCGCTGTTTTCCTCCTCTTGTACATCTTTTCTTCTTTGCCTGGTTGTAGARAGTAATCATGCATTTAGGTCCGATCGTGAAGGGTTGAGAAAAAAAATCATTATCTTTTCTATCGTTACACGTTAATAAAACTTAAAAGAACGAATCAATTTGCACACCAGTCAACTTCGCTACACTACAAAACTACTTCCCCCCGGGCTTTTCACAATAGAAGCACGCTAGAGTCTCAATGCATTAACGTCTCCGTTATAACGTAGCTCGTTAAATCTAATTGTGCACGTCACTGAAGAGTTGTTTACTATTCAGCGATGGTGAAAACGGGATGCTTATTTTTTACGTCAGACCATATAAGCGGCAGAAACGCACCACCCCTAGCCAGTTGTTCCAACAATAACGTTAGCATGCTAATGTGCTTAGCGGTGCTGCGAGGAAACGTTCCGCACATGTTCAGTCTATACCGGTATTCAGAAAAGTCATATCATAACAAAAATAAAAACCGGTTTTCGGTACAAAACGGTATACCGCCCAGCACTACACGGGTGCAAATAATAAATATAAAAGTTYAAGAATTTACACTTTTTGCAAAAATGCAGAATGCTTATCTATAAAGAAAAAAAGGACGAACAAAAAATATTTGTTGTAAAATAGCCTAAAAGCTGAAATGAGCAGAAAAGTAGCTGAAAAGGCTGAATCTAGCTCAACAAATCAGAAAGAGCATATTTTCTGAATTAAGCAGTAAAAGCTGAWATTATCACAAAAGGTGGGTTTAGCTGAAAAAAGCACAAAAAATCAGAAAACAGGTGTAAGAAGCATAATAAGCTTAAATTAGCAGAAAAAGCCAATAGATGTGAATAAAATTTTWAATCCATAGAATAACTGAGGAGCAGAAGAGGCTGAATAGCAGAAAAAAGGAAAAAAWTGCTAAAATGTAGCATAAATTGCTGATTTTTAAAGATCTTCTCACGGTTTTTATGTTTTGCATGCAGATATATCTGTTTTCACAGAAGTTTATGAGCAGTTCAGTTGTGTYTTACCAGATGCATCAAGTGGCAAAACTTCCTTAATTCAACATGACGCRATGAGGAGAAATAGAAGCCAAATAAAACCTGCAGGAACAAACATGAGCCAGGATGTTTTCATCGTGAGGATTCTATCCTCTCTTCCTGTCCGCTGAGAGCTGGGAGGCAGAGCTCCATGTTTTACGTTGCTATCAAGGTGCTGCACGAGATAATCTTTGCTAATTTATCATCTTGACATGCTAACAGGGAGGGGATAAACCAAACAAAGGCTTGATAGAGTCTACCTTACAGACATGTTTTCTATTGTTACTCCTCATAGTTTAAATCTGCTCTCTGTAGAGAGATTTTAATGCCAGAAATAAGCATGTTTGCACCTGTTTAAAACATCTTAATCTATTTTTTTCTTTCCTGTTACTCATTTTCTGTTTCTTTCTGTTAATATGCGCAGCTTCCCGCCCAGTGGAAAATAAACTGTGTAAGGGTCCGACCCCAAACAGATCCCAGCTTTGCCAAATCCCCTGTCCCATCGACTGCGAGGTGTCCCCATGGGGGGCCTGGGGTCCGTGCATCTTTGAGAACTGTGATGATCAGACTGGAAAGAAAGGTACGTTTCCCAGGGGAGGAGCTAGACTTTTTGTAAGGGGGGGCCAAGTTTTTTTTTGTTTTGTTTTGTTTTGTTTTTTTGGGGTGGGGCATGTAAAAAATAAAGAAAAGCACTCAAGATGGCCGCCACAGCTAATTTCAAATGTGGAATGTAGCTAATGCTCGATTCTAGTCCCAATTTAATAACCATAATGTCAATTTTACGAAGAGCTATGATTCAGCCATTTCTAGACAAACAAAGCAGAAAATTTGCTTAAATTTTGCCAAAAACAATCTTTACTAAATTCTAAATGCTAATCAAAAATTCAAGATGGCCACCACATTTAACTTTAAATGGRTATAATTCAACTGACYTCTGTTGTGGGGCAGCTAAGAATGATCCCAAGCACATGCCTACTGCTAATAATGCTATTGCTAATTTTACAAAGGGCTGTAATTCAGCCATTTTGTAAGCGTACACAGCAGAACATTTGTGTAGCAGTAGCTGAGAAACAAAATCTGAATTAAAATACAAAATTCAAGATGACCACGAATGCAAATTTGAAATAGGTACGACTCAGTAATTTAAAAAATAATGAGCTGAAATTTGGTATTATTCTTTTTTTCTTCACACCGATATGTTTTTTACTCGTTTTCTGTTCTAACTGCCCATCTTTAAAATATCACATGGGCGTGGCACCTGGGGTGGCCAATCAGGTGTCGGGTGCACTTGKCACCCCAACCACTCCTCTGGCTCCGCCCCTGCCTTTTCCACCTCATGGTTTTTGTATTTTATCCTATCTTTGTGTTACTTTTTATTGATTTAAAGAAAACAGAGCAGTGGGTCATCTTGTTAAAATATTTACTTGTTACATTAGAGTGGGGATAAAAAAGTAGTTCAAGATCAAATCGTGAGAAATAATTTTCTGGTTACTACCTGCAGCTGTCTGTCAGACAGAAAATGAAGGATGTGACTGAAGATGAATGTCTTTACTTTCTTTTTTGATGAATTCCAGGTTTCAAACTGCGGAAGCGACGGATCACCAACGAGCCGACGGGAGGCCCGGGGAACTGCCCGCACCTGGTGGAGGCGATGCCGTGTGATGAGCCCAGTTGTTACAACTGGCAGCTGCTGGGTCTGGATAAATGTATTCCTGATGACGGCAGGCCGTGCGGTCCTGGTACGCAGCTGCCGCAGGTCCAATGCATCAACAGCAACGGTGAGGGGAGAAAACTGAATCTCATTGTTCAAGCAGATGATGCGATTTTTGCAGAGTGATGAGCTGAGCAGATGCAAACGATGGAGATTACCTCGTGCTTTTAGACTCGAGCAAGTCGTTTGTTCAGATTAAACTCCTTCCTCCTTACAGATGGCGTTTGTTGGTTTCATCCCTGGGCAGGGTTTTATTTTTCACTCCAAGTAAAAAGTCAGAAAACCATCAAGGTTTCCTGTGTGCAAGAGATTTCCATCACACAGTTTCTGAATATTTATTAGGCTTTATAAGGAATCCTCTTCATCTCTTCCTGTTTAAACCTGTCTCACTTTAACGCTCGTTTGACTCGGTCTTGTTGCCACTCGCCTGCCGTCTGCCTCATTACAGTCGTCCTCTTCTTTACGCACAATTAAACTGCATCAATCCTCTGTGGCCTGGAGAGATGGAGCAGCTTCCACTCTGTCTTTTAATGCTGGTTCTTTATCATCTGCACTTATGAAAGCTGGGCAAACACCTGTGTGTTTGTTAGCCTGTTAGCAGGGGTGGAGCTAGACTTTTTTGCAGGGGGTGGCCAAGATGTCTTTTTAGCGGGGCACATACTGTATATATATATA